ACTATCTAAATATCCATTTAACTAAAACACTACTAGCCATTTTCATTACATTAGCAGTACTAAACTTACCCTGTTTTTCACGTGGGGAGCGGGACCAAGATAACTTTCCATTTTTGGAAAGTAATGTTTCTGCTTGTGTTTGACAGACAACAGGAGCATCTGCATGGGGTATTCAGGGTGGACAATTTGATAGAGGATTTCTCTGAAAGTACAAAATAAAAGTATTTTATAGTCTTTGCGCTAGTAGTCTAACTACTGAGTCCAAAATGATCAGTCTTCGAACTTAAAAGTATTTGTATTACTCGTCACATATAGCAGCAAGACAGGCATTGTTGTACCGGGACTTTGACAGGAGAGTATCAAGAAGTACACAGTAAAAGTATTTCATAGTATTTCGGATAGTTGTAACTACAACTGATTCCAACTTGATCAGTCTTATGAAAAATGTATGGCCAAAAATAATGTTATCGCTCATCAAAGATAGCAGAAGCTTGTCATTGTTGCACTGTGTAAAGGCAAAGAGTTAGAACCTTTATTTTGAAGAGTACAGCGCAAGCATAGGGCAAACTAGCCAATCAGAAGCAAGGAGGCACTGGAGACCCACCCACCTATGTAAACGAAACATTGAGTGGTATACTTGTTTTAACAGTAAGAACAGAAAAACGAAAAAACGAGCTGAATTTCCGTTTTTTGGTTTTGGGGCAAAATTGAAAAACAAAAAAACGACCCGTTTCTGTTTTATTATGAGTTTCAATAAGAACTAAAAAACAAACGGTTAAAACGTACCTTCGTCCAAAACATATTCTTAGATATAAATACCTAATTTTGAATTATTTAGACACAATCAACACTTATAGTTTCATGTCTTGTTACATAAGAATAGATCATATTTGTTAAGTGTTATTATGGTAGAATTACTATTCTTGTGGTACTACTGCCTTATTAGGCCCATATTGAGCAGAGCATATTAAGACCAAAACTCATGTACAACAACTTCCTTACTTACAATAAAAAAACACTAATTAGAGGGTTATTGAGGGAAAACTCTCAACTAATGGCTTATTACTTGTAGAATATGGTCATGCAGAATAAGGCATTAATAAGTGTTTTATAATGACTAATAAAGAGCCAATATACTGCTAATATGCATGTTAATTAACAACTAGTTGATGGTTAATTTGTGTACCTTAATATAAAGTGTTACCGATATTTCAATAAACCTTTGAAAATCGTGAAATCTTGAAAGGGATGTGCAAAATAGCCATTATATACAGTTTTTGATGAACAATTAGAGAATAACGAGTAATGAATGAGGTAAAGTGTCAGCGGGGGGGCCGGGCCTTGTTTAAGAGGCTGGTAGCGGAGGGGAAGAAACTGTTCAGGTGGCGTGAGGTTTTGGTCCCGATGAAGCGCAGCCTCCTGCCAGAGGGGACGGGGGCGAACAGTTTGTGTCCAGGGTGGGAGGGGTCGGCTACTATCTTCCCTGCCCGCCTCAGGGTCCTGGAGGCATGCAGGTCGTGGAGGGATGGCAGATTGCAGCCGATCACCTTCTCTGCAGAGCTGATGACACGCTGCAGCCTGCCCTTATCCTTGGCTGTGGCTGCGGCGTACCAGATGGTGATGGAGGAGGTGAGGATGGACTCGATGATGGAGGTGTAGAAGTTCAAGTTGAGGTAGAAGAAGAAGAAGTAGAGGTAGAAAAAGAAGAAGTAGATGTAGAAAAAGAAGAAGTAGAGGTAGAAGAAGAAGAAGAAGTAGAGGTAGAAAAAGAAGAAGTAGAAGAAGTAGAGGTACTGTATATGCATCCAGCAACAGCATGCATCATCATTGCTCCTGAGAAGCGTCTGTACTCTCAGTTCCCTAGAGAAGTCGAGCTTTACTTTGAATTGACCAACATTGTCGTCCTTTTCATGAGAAACAAGAATTTGTTTCCTGGTAACCAATCCTTTGTCACTGACCCCCTAAACCAGTGATACAGTAATGAAGATGACAACATTCCTATGTTCTTCTCACAGAGGGGAAATATACATTGTTAAAGCAAAGTGGGACAATATATATAGAGACAAAAATAAAATACTCTTAAATAAGAAGGCAAGTATTCATCGTATTGATACAAATTTTAATCAAATAAGTCCATATTAAAAGTAGAAAAAGATAAGTGGCAGTATAGATAAAACCAACACACTCTCACTCCATAAACGTCCAGGAGCGACGCTTGGTCAGGGTCCCGAGGCGTGCAGTTGGGACGCTCCTAGGCTTCTTCAGCTTCATAAACAGATGCAAATAGCTTTCAACTGATTGCAATGTATTCCCATCTGCGGCGGGATTTGACGCTCATGGAAGCACGGCATTCGTTTGTGTCGGAGGCAGTTAAAGGCAATGTGCGCGTCCATTCCCGTTGGATAACGGAGAATTGTACACCCGGAAGTAAGTATTCCCCTTACTGTCGATTGATTTGACAGTGATATCTCCACTACTCATCAACTCAAAAACACCAGATTATCCTTGTTAATTAAACGACATTGATAGGTTTTAGTGTGTGTACAATGCATTTGTCACGTTTTCCCCTTCAATTCTGAGAAACAAGTAGTTTTCTATGAGTTTTGGATGGCCGAAGACATTACATTACCCACAATCCTCTGTAGCAACCATAGACTGTATACAAAAATTAAATAATACATTATTCCGAGTGTGCTTGCTTTTCTCTTTGAAAGTCATCACATAACGGCATTGTAATACACGTTTCGGCTGCATTAAAGATGACATATCTGCCGTAGTTAACTCTATTTATAGAGCCCTGATGACAAGACTTCTAGACAAACAGGAACTGCCGCCAAAACTGAAAACTTGACGTGGATCTTAAATATATCAGCAATTAAACATCTTACATTTATTTTCACACAATACGTCTCCTTGCAGTATCAACACTAATTCGGCTGACTTTTATATTTGATCCAATTGGTAGATAGGCTGTATTTACGCCATAACGGTGCACAGCTGATAGAAAAGGACACCTACTGGTTAAAGCACGTTATTGCATTTTATAATTGTATTATTAGATATTAATAGGATCCCTATAAAGTATATTCTTTACTCGTCGTTATTCTCTACTAATAGTTAATTAAAGACTGTATATAATGACTATTTTGCACATCCCATTCAAGATTTCAAGATTTTCTAAGGTTTATTGGCATATCATATTATACACAACTACGGTGTAGTTATGCAATGAATGAAAAACTTGGATCGCAGGTTCCTCAACAGTGCATTACAAGACATCTATCAATATGTGTGTACCTCCACCATTACATTGTCATATTCTGCACATTTCTTATACTATCTACATACATCTTATAAGAGTATAATACATATGTATAATATCAGTTAAAATAAGTGCTTAAACATAGTTAACATTGCAGGAAAGCAATATATTAGACGCTAAATACTTTGTCAGGCTTAATATTTATACACATTTCACTGTGTGTGCTGTGTGCTCTGCATGTATGACCATCAAAGAGGGTTTCATCCCTCCATATTCATCTTCTATACCCCCAAAGCTTTTTTCTTATTCAAAAGAAGACCGTAACCTAAAGTATTCTTTAATGTTTAAATAAAGCCTTATTAGTTTGTCTGTTTTGCACATCCTCCTATTAATATCTAATAATAAAATTATAAAATGCAATAACGTGCTTTAACCAGTAGGATCCCTTTCTATCAGCTGTGCACCGTTATGGCGTAAATACAGCCTATCTACCAATTGGATCAAATATAGAAGTCAGCCGAATTAGTGTTGATACTGCAAGGAGACGTATTGTGTGAAAAGAAATGTAAGATGTTGTTTAATTGCTTATATATTTAAGATCCACGTCAAGTTTTCAGTTTTGGCGGCAGTTCCTGTTTGTCTAGAAGTCTTGTCATCAGGGCTCTATAAATAGAGTTAACTACGGCAGATATGTCATATTTAATGCAGCCGAACCGTGTATTACAATGCCGTTATGTGATGACTTTCAAAGAGAAAAGCAAGCACACTCGGAATAATGTATTATTTAATTTTTGTATGTAGTCTATGGTTGCTACAGAGGATTGTGGGTAATGTAATGTCTTCGGCCATCCAAAACTCATAGAAAACGACTTGTTTCTCAGAATTGAAGGGGAAAACGTGACAAAAGCATTGTACACACACTAAAACCTATCAATGTCGTTTAATTAACAAGGATAATCTGGTGTTTTTGAGTTGATGAGTAGTGGAGATATCACTGTCAAATCAATCGACAGTAAGGGGAATACTTACTTCCGGGTGTACAATTCTCCGTTATCCAATGGGAATGGACGCTCACATTGCCTTTAACTGCCTCCGACACAAACGAATGCCGTGCTTCCATGAGCGTCAAATCCCGCCGCAGATGGGAATACATTGCAATTAGTTGAAAGCTCTTTGCGTCTGTTTATGAAGCTGAAGGAGCCTCGGTGCGTCACAACTGCACGCCTCGGGACCCTGACCAAGCGTCGCTCCTGGACGTTTATGGAGTGAGAGTGTGTTGATAAAACGGAGTGTAATATATAGAAAATATTGTAGTTATATGTATTCATTTATATTTTATAGCGGTAATACATGCATATACAATATACTAAATATGCCTTTTAGTGCAGTCAAAAGGTGCATCAAATCAGTATATTTATCATATCCTCCTCGGACAATTTATACTTAAATGCAAACTATTGTTATTTCTTTATTACCTTCCATATTAATCTGTACTTTTCTGTTGTTGTGCTGCTGAAACAACTGAGTTGGGGATCAAAAGATATTTATCTTATTTTATTTTATGCACATAAATAAAAAGATGTATTAAGTGTTTCCTGGAAAGGGGAACCATTGGCCATTTATTTCTTGATAATGACTCATTTCCTTCCTGGTAAAAAATACATTTCTGTTGAATTATTCTTGAGTAGCATTCCATAAATAAAATGTTTTCACTGAAAGCTGAGGTGTCCAGATCTGAGTCCATCCTCTGACACACCCTCACAGCTTTCTATAAAGCGTGAGGATCTGAGAACCTGCTGCATCGAGCATCACAGTCAGCTTCAGCAGGTAAGCTCCACTGATCCTCTTCTCACTATTTTTGTTCTCACATAAATAATTTAGAACGTATGCATACCAAACCTTTTCCTTAACCACCAAACACTTGACTTTCAGATTTGAGGTTTGACTTCAGAGGACCACCGTCATGACTCCAGTTTTGCTTTCCGTCCTCTTCATCTCTTTGTCGGCCATTCCTCCGGTGAGTCTGACTCTTTCGTGTTAAAGCTCCCATGTCATGCTTTTCCGGTTATTACCCGTCCCCTTGTGTGTTATGAAGGTTTTTATGCATGTAAACGGTGTGCAGAGTCAAAACCCTCAAAGTACACCCTGTAGCGAGTAAAACTCTAACACAGAAAATACCTCCCCAAAACGCCTCGTTGGAGATACGTCACTGCCCATTTGAGTCTTCCATTTAGTTCCGGGTACCGCCTGATGTCATGCGGTACCCGGAACGAAATGGACCAATCCCGAAGAGCTATGGCCACACCAGCAGCGTCGTGTTCCTCCTCCAGAGGTTCGAAGAACCGGCATTTCACAGACGAAAGCTTCCAAAACATTGCCCAGTTTGAGGCCGGATATGCACAGCTTGTTTGGACCGTTTGGAGCAGGGGAAGATCTGGGTATACAACCTGTAAGTTTGCATTGTTATTTGTGTATTTATCAAACAAGACTGTTTAAATGTGTAAACTGTGTTGGACTGCTAAGCCATTGACACAGTGCTAACTAAGTTGCTAGAGTTTCCATATATCAACTCTAATATCAGCAGATGGCCTTGCATACATGTATCTCATAGCAGGAGAATGTCTGCATTCACACACAAAATACCTATTGACAGTATACTCCGGGTGATTTGCCGGTCAGTCGCGAAACGTAATTACATTATAGCTGGCGTAGCGATCTAACACACGGAGCTAGAGCTAGTTTCGGTCAGAAAAACATTTTTGTGATGCTACGTTGCTAGCGTTTAAATATATCAACTACAATGTCAGCAGATGGCCTTACATGTTTGTCATGGCAGGAGAATGTCTGCAGTCACACACACGGAATACTCATACAGTATACTGTACTGTGATTTACCGTACATTGTGACCGTACATATACTGCATGTAGCTAACGAGGCTAGCTGTATGCTAGCGCAAAACAATGTATTCATGCAAGTTACATTGTATGACCGAACGTAGCAGAATACCCGTATACGATTGCAATTATAAACACGTTATTGCTAGCCTAATATGAACCACTAGCTTTTGTTCATAGTAGTTTTATTACACTGCATTATAGTTCCCTTTCCTCCAAGCTAACGTTCATATCGTGTTAGCTACCAAGGTAAACAAAGCTAGGTTAGCATATTAGCAGGCAAGCTGTTCATTACACAACTACTACTAACGAATCTAAAACAACTAAGTTTCTCTAATATTTTGTGATTTGCATTTGATTTCGTCCAGCCAGATCCTGGCGGACAATCCATGACGGGGAAGGGATTCTACTACTACTGAGGGTGCTAAAAGGCACCGCACCGACTGTGCGCAGGCAAGATGCGAGGAGGAGGAATGGATGATATACCGTGTATATATGTATATTTATGTTCATTTTGTACATTTCTAAAAATAAAGTTTAATGGAAATACTTAGTAGGCCTATCCTTTCTTCCCTGAATTCATATATAGCAAACCATGATTTGATTTCTCATCAAACAGTAGTAGTTTATAACGGGTAAAAATAACTTACTCTTTGTTATGAGAGTAGCTCGTAGGCCACAACGGAAAGGCAAGGAGACATACACGAGTTTACAAAACCACGGCACATTTATTGTAGTAAATGCAGAGACAGGTGGTCGAGGGGAGAGGGTCGCTCAGTTCGTCCTTCTGCAGCCGCTTTGGAGAGAGACTCCGGGCCGCTGGGATTAATAGCACCGGCTACGGAGGTGTCCGTGATCGCGCTGATTACCCTCTTCAGCTCCACCCCACCGTAAGACAAAGGCCCTGAGGCCGTCACACTCTTCTATAACAACAGTTAAAAATATATATGTATATAAAATATACCGCTGTACCGACGCCATGATAAGACTGATGTTACGCTGAGAGCAGCCGGGAAAAGCACTGACATGGGCGCAGCCTCTCTGGTGGTTGACTAATCAGAACGAGTGGCCGAGCTGACCAATCGGAGCACACTAGGCTCACAGGGAGGGGGGGGCAAGAGCTCCAACGAGTCGTTTAGTGGAGAAAGTGAATACTGCTGAATACACATGCTTGACAGAGATGCTGTATGCGAAACCAATGTGAGTTTGGAAAATTGCACAGTATAAATCTATTTTAGTATACCTCAACAATGTAATTATGATCAGTGGAAATGGCCATGACATGGGCCCTTTAACACAAACAGTTGCTGTGGGATTGACAAACAAAATGTTTATTTTGTATTTATAGAAAAAAGGGCATACATTATTTTATTTGTATGAATAACATTGAAGAAAAATAACATATTTTTTATATTTATAATGTTGTTCATTCGTTTTGCAGGGTGCTACTGATAACGGAGAAAAACGTGAGTTGGAAATGAAGAATTTACTGTATATTGACATTTGTTTCTTCTTAGTTTCTCTTGATTCACATCTGACTTTTAAATGTTCTGGTATCATTTGTTTTCTCTGTTTGTTGTTTCAGAAGAGTCTTTGGACGCCTCTGACATCATCGAGAGAGCTAATGCTGACATAAGTACGACACCAGTTTCATATTTTCTATCCAAAATCCAAAAACATGATGGCAAAATTACAATAAGACTTGGTATAGATCTCATCTCTGTTTGACAAAGTCGAACAACAGAATATGAGTTTTCAAAAGTTACCATTGAAGACATTTATTAAGGATTCTTTTCCAAAAATCTATTGGATTCAGCTTGTGTTATTTGAGGACATTTTAAGGTTTCTCATTGTTGGTCAGACATGCTTGTGTGTTTTGTAACTTGTTAAAATGTATTTTTCAAGAAGGGAAAAACCCTTAGCCTCAGCAAATTTGTAAATTTCAATGATATTTGTGAAACTCCAGACTCATGTTACGGATATTCATGAACAAATGTGTTTTACTTATTGTTCTGCAGCTACGCACCTGGTCGACGGCGACATTGTGCCAAATGTAAGAAGGAATGCAATGCCCTGCACGGCTAAAGGCTGCAGATGGCCCAAATCTAGAGGACACGTAAACGTACCGGTCTACATCTCCCCCAACTACAGTAAATACACATTTGCCCTAAAATTCAACCTAAATGTGAGATCTTATGCTGGAAGGCAGACCAGGTTTGGTGAGAACAGTGCTCAGCACCCTGTTTTTTGTCTCTGCAGCCAGAACAGAGCGCAACATCATCATCAAAGCCCTGGTGACCTTCCACGCATCCACCTGCATTCGCTTTGTCTGGAGGAACACCCAGCGAGATTACCTCGACTTCTTCTCTGGATCTGGGTAAGAACACACATTGTAACACAAAGAAATCTCATTATTCTGTGATTACATTTTAACTTTCTCAGTCTGAATCTGTTTCTGTTTTGGTTGGTCGTGATGTTGCTTCATGTCAGTGTTGAAGAAAATCATACTTTAGGGGAGGGGCTTCATTTCACTACTTTTTGTACAGGGTCACCAAATATTAATTAAAAGTGCTTATAGTTATACTTTGTACAACTGAATTTCCCCACGGGGATTAATAAAGGTCCATCTTATCTTACTTGATGGGGGAGGAAAGAAGATGAAAACCAAGCTCAAAAAAAAACTTTTCAGTTTTGTCCAATCTTCTTGCGAAAAGTTGGATAACTATACCTATTTGATAATCAAACTATTGTTTGACTTTAAATTAAACTTCTGAGAAGTTTGAAGAAGAATCTGTCTTTGGTGTACAGATAACAACTCACGGACATGTGAAAAAAGTAAGGTAAAATGTATATACTCAGGGAATGTACGAGTAAGTAAATTAGCTACTTTGGAATGTAAAAAAACAACCGATCCCTGTTTCTCACAAGAGTGTGTGTGTGTGTGTGTGTGTGTGTGTGTGTGTGTGTGTGTGTGTGTGTGTGTGTGTGTGTGTGTGTGTGTGTGTGTGTGTGTGTGTGTGTGTGTGTGTGTGTGTGTGTGTGTGTGTGTGTGTGTGTGTGTGTGTGTGTGTGTGTGTGTGTGTGTGTGTGTGTGTGTGTGTGTGTTTTAGGTGTTGGTCCTACCTGGGCCGACAGGGTAGAGGACAGCGCGTCTCCCTGAAGAAAAATGGTTGTTTGGGCACATCCACAGTGCAGCACGAGGTTCTCCACGCTCTGGGCTTCCAACACGAGCAAGTCCGCTCCGACAGAGACCAATACGTCTCCATCCTCTCCCAGAACATTAAGCCAGGTCAGATCACACACAAACGCTCTAATCCACAGTCCTGATTGTACAGTATGTGTTGTATGAAAAATGATGCGATCTACAGAGAGGTGAGTTTAAGTTCATGCCTTATGTCTGAAAAGCCACCAACATCAAAGTCATTGCCATGATAGCAGCTCTGGAGGGTCTTTCCCATTCCCCAGTTTGTACATCCTCCATCCCACTTGAAAAAGCCCCTGTCTTGTGTTTAGTCTTTTAGAATGATAACATCTGATAATTACAAGTCGACACAAAGGAAATCTGAGGCTGGGGAAGGTGTTAGCTTTGCAGAGATAAGTATTGGAAACATTTAGATTTGTATCTGATGGCATTAGATTTAAATAATTACAATATATTATCTTGGAATTTTGTGCCAATCCATCTTTAGATGTTGAGATATTTGACTGGACAGGTGAAAGCTTTAGCCAAGTTGCTGCACTAGAAGAAAAGTCAGGGAAACATCCTGTGAGCATCATGAATGTCTGGCTTAAATCCATCCAATAGTTACTAATGCAATAAAGGAGTTAGCTGTGAAGTCTACCAGCATGCTTTTAAGCAAGTTGTTCCCATATTTTCAATCCAGCGTTTATAAAAAAGCAAAAATGTAAAAACTGTTCTCAAATATAAATGCTCTCTTCTTCTCTCTTCCTGTGCAGGAAAAGAAGGTAACTTTAAGAAGCAGCAAACTAACAACTTGGGTACTCCCTACGACTTCGACTCTGTCATGCACTACGGAAAGTGAGTGTTTGTGTGAGTGTATGTATGTATGTATGTATGTATGTATGTATGTATGTATGTATGTATGTATGTATGTATGTATGTATGTATGTATGTATGTATGTACAGTATGTATGTAGTATGTATGTATCAGCGACGTGCAGTCAGTGGAGGCAGGGGAGGCAGAGCCTCACCTGTCATACTCCAATGTAACGGAAAAACAACTAAAGAAAAACGAAATAGTAATAATAATAAAATGTCTCCACTGATCTGTGTTGTAAGTGTGATTTATGTATGATTCTAATCGGTTTTTATAGTCAAAATCAGCAAATTTGCCGAGCTCCGCTACGGGAGCGATGACAAGTGAGGCAGGCACGTGCTCTGCCTCTCGTAAGCCCACAGTAACTTGCTGGAGCACGGGCACTAATTTAGCGCGGGCACTTATTTTGTGAGCGCGCTCAAGCCAGTTACCATGGGGTGAGGTGAGGCACAGATGAGATCTGCCTCACCTCAGAATGCGTCACCCCACAGAAACTGGCTGGAAAGCGGGCCCTAAGCGCATGCCTGTTACCATCTCACTGTAGGTCACCAATGTAATGTATGTAGATCCCTTTATTACATTTATCCTCGCCATCCATAGTCTCTAAATAACTTATTTCACGTATATATGATATTTAGGCTCGCTGGTCTCAACGGCAATGAAAATGCACCAGGGGAGGCAGCCATAACCTCTGCCGCACTGAAGGGGGCGCACGTGAGCCCACAGGTTCTTGTTGCTACTGTAAATTCTACACAGAGACGGTAGACGCAAACAACAAGCTAGACTTTTGAAACTAGAGGAAGATAAGGAGGACTTTTACAAAAAAGTAATAGAGATTGTTGTCCAGAAGGATAGCATGGACTTCAAGTCAAGGTAAGACCACATTTCTAATGAAAATGGGATCTTACTAAGAAAGAACAATCCAATATTTAGATTTTGGGTATCCTTTTGTTGAACGGTCTGTTTAAAATGAATCGAACCATCAGACTAAAAAAGCTTTTGAAAATAACCGAATATTTCGATTAAGGTCAAAATATAATATTTGTAAATCTGACTCAGTGAGTCAGTGCCTCATGTATGTATGTATGTATGTATGTATGTATGTATGTATGTAGGTATGTATGTATGTATGTATGTATGTATGTATGTACAGTATGTATGTATGTATGTATGTATGTATGTATGTATGTATGTATGTATGTATGTATGTATGTATGTATGTATGTATGTATGTATGTATGTGCATATATGATACTCAGATCTTTTACTCTAGTAAAAATAGCTATTCTAGGTTGTAAAAGTATTATTTGACATGTAAAAGTCCTGCATTCAAAATCAAACGTTTAATTATTATTCATCGTTTTTTTTTCTTCAATTTTGGGTAATATTTCATCCAATATTTGATTAAATCACTTTTAGGTCTTACATCTAACTTGCCTAGTGAAGAAGCAAGTATCTGTGTGCTTGTGATGTGTGTGTGCAGCTCTGTTTGCCAAAAATGTTGTCTTCTTTTGATCCTCAAGACACAGCTTCAGCAAAAACAACGAACCAACCATCCTCGCTAAGAAAAATCCGAGTCGTGACTTTGGGACTGCTCGTACGATGAGCAAGAATGACATTGCCCGTGTCAACAAGCTTTACCGATGTAAATGTAAGTGGGAAATAATGCTATATTCTCCAAAAGAAACCTAAACACAGCGGATACATCCAACTAATATAGCTGTAACAGCAGAACAAGAAAGAAAGGGTTGAAATATTGTTTCTCTGAGAAATGTATTAAAATCTTTCTTTTCCTCACCAGAAACGGAAGTAAAGGGTCGGCCTCCAGATAATTCAACTCCCGGCTTTTTATGATTCAACCAAAGGTCCAGATCTGTTGTTTAACAGTGGCTAACTTTCAAATAATTTGTTAATGGATTTAAATCATTTACTCACTTTATTGATTTTAAAATATACTCTTTATGATATGCTTATGGTTTTACTTAGTGGGCTAAAGACACATGCAATTGTTAATGACGTGTCCAGGGGAAGAACATTTAAAACAATTTGAACAATGAATTGATCATAGAGACAATGATGAAAAACATGTTGATGTAATGGAATTGCTGATTGGTACTGATGATTTTAATGACTTTGTATTTATCTTTGCAATGAAGTTAGCAATTTGTTCAATAAATATTTAGATATATATTTCCTTTAATTAGAAATGAAGCTGTAATTACTCTCACTTTGAATCCCTAACTATGGATAAGAAATACTCAGAACAAGTACCAACAGAACGATGTGTAAGACATATTACTGTACGAGTAAATATTCTCTATTCAAAAACAGTTAGTTAAAAGTACGTTACGATCGAACATCTTAGACCTCTGACTGATATATTATATATAATAATACATAGTTATATAAATCATATACAAATGCTCGATTAGTCCAGTGGTTTCCAAGCAAATAAATCTGGAGGGTCTTGAGATCATAAATGAGAAATAATTGTATCATACTGTATGTGCTCAAACACGCTGACACAGTGAGCACATATGTCTCAATTAGAGTGGCATAGTCTGTTCTGGAACTACTTTACAAACTGTATTGATCCTTCGGATAAGTAAGAGTAGTTAACAACATGCAGAATAGTTGTGGTATCTGTAATACTTCGATACATTAGGAAAAAAATACAAATAAACATATTGTAAGTGGATGTGAAGATGTATTCTTTGGTTCGCAGTCCAGGAGAAAGTTAAAAAGGAGACGAATGGAGTCTCGGAAAGTTCAAATGAGTAATTTAATAAAGTAGCGTTGGTTTGAATCAAACAGGTAGTTTACACAGCGCTGTGTACAGAGAGAGAGAGAGAAAGAATCCCCCCGCTGGGAGAGTATGCCGGTTCCTTCTCCTCTTCTCATTGGCTGCTTCGGGTCTTCCTCCCGGCTCCGTTCCTCTGGATTAATATCGCATCAAATAATAGGATTTAGACGTTGTGTGTCTATTGTGTAACTCCACTAGCCTTTCCTCCTCATATTCTCATTCATGACTTTTGATTTGATCCATTCTAACCGCTGAAAACAAAGATAACGTAAACCCGGAAGTGACGTAATGTAAACATCCGGGTTTTCCTTCAAAATAAAGCTTTTCAAAATAAAATGGTGCATTCATTTAATATTCACGTATCATATTGATTTTAATTTCTTACAGATGCAAGAAGCAAAGTTTGGCTTCTCCACCTCAACACATAATAAAACAGAGAGAAAAAAGAGATGTACGATTAGCTGGCTTATTCTGCCATCTATTGGCCAAAGGCTGATACAGAATAAGGGTGGTGAAATGACCACCCAATAGTTATTCACTTGCAAATAATCACACATAAACGACTATGAACACATATATTGACTATGTGATAACTATAATATTTAAAGGGCCCATGTCATGGCTATTTCCACTGATCATAATTACATTGTTGAGGTATACTAAAATAGATTTATACTGTGCAATTTTCCAAACTCACATTGGTTTCGCATACAGCATCTCTGTCAAGCATGTGTATTCAGCAGTATTCACTCTCTCCACTAAACGACTCGTTGGAGCTCTTGCCCCCCCCCTCCCTGTGAGCCTAGTGTGCTCCGATTGGTCAGCTCGGCCACTCTGTTCTGATTAGTCAACCACCAGAGAGGCTCCGCCCATGTCTAACAGTGCTTTTTCCGGCTGCTCTCAGCCGAACATCAGTCTTATCATGGCGTCGGTACAGCCGTATATTTTATACGCCAACTAACCGAACTGTACCTACAACTGTTGTTATAGAAGAGTGTGACGGCCCCAGGGCCTTTGTCTTACGATGGGGTGGAGCTGAAGAGGCTAATCAGCGCGATCACGGACACCTGGCCGGAGCCGAGGTGCTAGCCAGCTGCCCGGAGTCAAACGGCGGCCCCTCTCTCTCTCCAAAGCAGCTCAGCGATCCTCTCCCCTCACCACCTATCTCTGCATTTACCACAATAAATGTGCCGTGGTTTTGTAAACTCGTGTATGTCTCCTTGTTTTTCCGTTGTGGCCTACGAGCCGGTCATAACAAAGAGTAAGTTATTTTTACCCGTTATAAACTACTACTGTTTGATGAGAAATCAAATCATGGTTTGCTATATATGAATGATATGTTATAGGAGCAAATAATTCAGGGAAGAAAGGATAGGCCTTCTAAGTATTTCCATTCAACTTTATTTTTAGAAATGTACAAAATGAACGTAAATATACATATATACACGGTATATCGTCAATTACTCCCCGTTGTCGGCATCTTGCCTATAGCAGCCGGGGCTTTTTAGGACGAGGCATCAGTGTGGTAGTCCAGTCATGTATTGTCCGGCAGGATCTGGCTGGACGAAATCAAATGCAAATCACAAAATATTAGAGAATCTTAGTTGTTTTAGATTCGTTAGTAGTAGTTGTGGTAGGAGTGTGGATCTAGCTAATGAACAGCTTGCCTGCTAATATGCTAACCTAGCTTTGTTTACCTTGGTAGCTAACACGATATGAACGTTAGCTTGGAGGAACGGCAACTATAATGGAGTGTAATAAAACTACTATGAACAAAAGCTAGTGGTTCATATTAGGCTAGCAATAACGTGTTTATAATTGCATTCTTCTACGGGTAGTCTGCTACGTTCGGTCATACAATGTTTCCCGCTAGCATGTATAGCTAGCCTCGTTAGCTATACATGCTATCAGCGTCGGAGGAAAGCCAACTGTAATGTACCGTCCTTTGGGGGTCTGTGAGCGGGCAAAGAGAGGGGATTTCCCCGTTGTCTCTGCTGGAAGTGTGAAATAAACTTAGTTGTTTGATGTTCGTCAGCTTGCCAGCTGGATTACAATGCTAATCTACGTTTGCTAGTTGTTCAATATGCTATACTATACTATGAACAACAGATAGTGTTTCATATTAGGCTATCAAGCACATGTTTACAATTGCAATCTTATATGGGTAAAAACAATGTTTTTCCGAGCAAACTCATGTCTAGCTCTTAGTAGCCTTGTTGTTTAGCTCGGTAGCATACACGCTCGGACACGCCAGCTATAATGTAATTACGTTTCGTTTACGTTTCGTAAATCACCTGGAGTATACTGTCTATGAGTATTTCGTGTGTGAATGCAGACATTCTACATACATGTATGTAAGGCCATCTGCTGATATTAGAGTTGATATGGAAACGCTAGCAACTTAGTTAGCACAGTTAGCACTGGCTTAGCAGTCCGAAACATGTTTACACATTTAAACAGTCGTGGTAGATACCTTGTTTGATAAATACACAAATAACAATGCAAACTTACAGGTTGTGTACCCGAATCTTCCCCTGCTCCAAACTGTCCAAACAAACTAGGAATAGCATCGTCCTTCAGTTTCAAATGCTGTGCATATCCGGCCTCAAACTGGGCAATGTTTTGGAAGCTTTCGTCTGTGAAATGCCGCGCACACAGTAACGTTCTTCGAACCTCTGAAGGAACAGTGTTAAAAAGAAACTGACTTCGTCGTGGTTCTTCCGTCGGTAGGACAAACAGCTCAGATTTCTCCTCACATTTCAGGAAACAGGTCCTTGGCAGTGGCATGACTGGATCGATTGTGAACTGAACCAGAGCTTCCAACAGTAAACGTTAGGCTGGCAGAGGGTGCGGCCAGCGCCGTTGGGTGTGGCCATATCTCTTCGGGATTGGTCCATTTCGTTCCGGGTACCGCATGACATCAGGCCGTACCCGGAACTAAATGGAAGACTCAAATGGGCAGTGACGTATCTCAAACGAGGCGTTTTGGGGAGGTATTTTCTGTGTTAGAGTTTTACTCTCTACAGGGTGTACTTTGAGGGTTTTGACTCTGCACACCGTTTACATGCATAAAAACCTTCATAACACACAAGGGGACGGGTAATAGACAGACGACTTGAAAGGACTTGACTGTTTAAAATTAAATATTTGCGTTTGTTTTTGTAGTGAGATATTACGTTTAGTTTTTTCGAAAAACGTGATTGGGTGATTATAGCGCCATGCCTGGCAACCCACTAGACGGCAGGAGTGTCAGTTAACATGGCAGCGGCTAGCGTTACTCCAAAAATAGTGAGGTTTGGATTCAAGGATTATGTTGTCGATGACGCTAATAAGAAGAGAACAGCGGTATGCAGGGTCTGCAGCATAAAGATCAGTGACACGACCACCACAACATCCAACTTCATTCGTCACTACAAAAAAACCCACTGAGAAAGGTGCGTGAATGTGTTGTGTTAGCTAGAAAGCTAACGTTAAGTTTAAGCTACGTTAGACTTGGTTTCAAATCGATTAAGCATTGCAAAGAGAATACAAAACGGTAAATTAACACTAGAACCGCCAAGGGATTCATTTGTACTAACCCTGATACTGACGGGCCGTCAGGAGAGGGAGAGAGAGAGAGGAAAAGAGATGCCTCGTTTATTTCCCCTGTGTTATTATCAGAAAGTTACTGTAAACTGTTGAATAATGTAGTTCATCTACTTTTAGTAGTTTGTTTAAATGTTTTAATTATGTTGTTTTTGTTTGTAGAAGTGCATCATTCCTTGATTTATTGTAAAATGAATCTGAACTTTTTGATCTGTTATGATGATAAACTGAAGCCATTTCTAAATTAACCCAATTAACTGAGTTTTAAATCGTCCTACTTAGTTTATACGGAAATTATGAAGAGGAACAAATGAAATGATTTGAAAATGATATCTATGTAGGTGCTGACGCTGTTGGCGGTTCTAGTGTTAACAGACATTTAAATTAAATATGTGTAATGGCAAATGCCATATATGATTTTCTTACCTGGAATTCTGCCTTTTTGAACAGACTTTTTGATTGCGTCCTAGCTATATTGTCTGCAGTTCTAGGGTTAATATGAATCTAATATGATTGTCATCGGTCTAAATTAGATTTCAAATTATTAACTGTCTATGTAATGAAGATCATAGTGTGGGTTGAATCCATTTTCATAACCACTGTCTTTTAACTGATTTAAATGCGGAAACTGGGCTTATTCATCAGAATTTTGTATGACTTGACTTGACTTGACCTGAGCAATGACTTGACTTGACTTGCTTGACTCTCACCACAGTGACTTGGGACTTGCTTGATACTTGTAGGTCAAGACTTGAGACTTGCTCATGACTTGCACATGTAGGACTTACTCCCACCTCTGAAAGTAATTCACACAGCCTCTTCCCTCTTCTCTCTGTGAGGAGCAGCAGGTTCAGCTTTCAGAACAAAGTAACAAAAAACTAAAATGGCATTCATTTTTTTAAATATGTCGTGTAGTAATAGATTTATTTATTTTTCTTCTCAAGAGAGTACCAGAATGTGTATTTTATGTTAGTATTTAAAAAAATCTCCTGGGGGAAAATCCCCCCAGACCCCAGGGGTTGGGTTTTCAGCATGTCAACTCTTTCACCTGTGGGGAAATTGCAGGATTGGCTCCAGGTCGCCCTTTTTATTTACTACAAGACAAATGTGCCTTTTTATTTCATACAGTTCAATTTGGATTGAGAGAGACAGGGAAATAATCTAAACCTCACGCGTGGCGTTTCACTGTCGGGGGGAGCGTGTATGTAATTACATTGCAAATACTGATTTGAGCCCCACCACTGTATGGGTTAGCCCTACCATATTGGCGCATTTCCACTGCACGGCCTCGCTCGGCCTCGCTCGGTATG